AAAAAAGAAGAAAATAAGAGAAGAGCAGAAGCTCATAAAATTGAACGTCAAAATATTGAATTCAGAACACAGGAAAATGATAGAAGACTGAATTCACTGAAAATTAAACGTGAAGATGAAGAATACAAACAGGAAGAGAGAAGAAGAAATGCATCAAGAATGCGTATGAGTCGAGATAAATACGAAAATAATTTTCATCTCATGAAATTAAATTATGAATCAAAAATAAAAGAAGAACCTACTCACATTTGCAGTTGTTGTGGCGGTTTATGGTTCGAATATTCAATCAAAGAAATCACAGTTGAGATGTTGAGAAATAAAGGATTACCAAAAGAATTTATTGATACAGTCTGTTATCTCAAAAATGCAATCATTAAATTATGTGTTACTTGTAGAAAGGACATTATGTCGAATAAAGTACCTAATCTTTGCCTATCTAATGGTTTAGCATTCTATGAAATACCAGATTGTTTGAAAATCTTGACTGAATTAGAAGAACGATTAACATCACCAAGAATTCCTTTTATGGTGATTCGAACGTTAGGCTTCTGTAAACAGTTTGGTCTCAAAGGTAATCTGGACAATGTTCCGATGAATGTTGACACAAATGTTTCGGTCTTACCAAGAAAGTTTAGCGATACCCATACAATCCAACTAAAACTCATGAGACAAATGAAAAATAAAAACGCCTTTATGTATGAAACAATTCGACCAAAAGTTGTACATACAGCTGTTAAATATCTTGTCGAACAGGAGCTATATAAAGGCGAAGGTATCATTATATCCGATGATTGGTTGAATGAGTATTCTAATGAACGAGAAAATTTCATTATTAAAGATGAAAATAAAAATATTGATGCGAATGAAATCATGAAGGAATCAGAATTTGATGATAATGATGCCAATTGGAATGAATCCGATGATAAACCAATCGATCCAGTAGCTACCGAAACATTATTAAATGATGAGATTGAAGATCAGAATGATATCGGTATTAAATTTGCTCCAGCAGAGAATAATAGACCAATATCAATTTTGATGTATATGAAAGTTGATGAATTAACATTTCCAAAAATTTATTGTGGTAAACAAAGAAAAATCAAAGAAAATGTTAAATTGACTTACGCTAAAATTGCTAAGTCAGAATTAAGAATGTTCGATCGAAGATGTGGTAGAATATCGAAACTATTTTTTACCTATAAGAAATTGCAAACGAGAAAGTTTTCAGATGCTATTTCAATAACTCTAAGAAAAACAAAAAATACAAAAAATGTAACTGTTGCACAAATACTCAATCGAGATTATGTCAATGGGTTAATACATAATGATGACGCTTTCACATTCTTGAGATGTGATCGATCATCACCAGCATTCTGGGAACTGAAAAAAAAGGAACTTATGGCCATGAACAGGCAATTAGGTTGTGCTACAATCTTTTTGACTTTATCAGCAGCAGAAACAAAGTGGTCAGAACTTATTGTAATATTGGCTAAAGTGTTGGGAAATAAAGTCATAACATTAGAAGAAGCAGAGAATATGAGCTATGAAAAGAAGTGTGATTTGATAAGAAAAGATCCTGTAACATGTGTTCGTTATTTTGAACATAGAATAAAATGTCTATGGGAAATATTATCAGCTCCTTCTGGTCCATTTCAAGGCTACGAACTAGAAGACAAATATGTCAGAATTGAATTTCAAGCTCGTGGTTCACCACATGTTCATGCCTTGATATGGTTAAAAAATGCTCCAAAATACGACAAAAATAAACCTGAATCAATTAAAGAATGTATAGAATTTATTGATAAACTGATTTCAGTTAGTTCGAAACCAACACAATTTTCTGAAGAACTTATAAGTTTGCAACGTCATAAACATTCACATACCTGTAAAAAATATGTGAACGGTTGTATTAAATGTCGTTTTGGTATTCCATATTTTCCGATGAGAGAAACTATGATTTTGGAACCATTTAGTAACGACGAAAAGTTAACTAAAAAAGAACGTGAAGAAATAAGTAAAACGAAGGAGAACGTAATGAAAGAACTTGAAAAGATATCAAAGGATATCGATAATTCATTAACTTTTGATGAATTCTTGGTACATATTTATATGAATGAAAAAGAATATATTAAAATGATTCGAGCTGACTTAAAAAAAGCAAAGGTCTTCTTGAAACGTGCTCCAAATGAAATGCGAATCAATGCATATAATCCGCAAATAATGTCATTACACAGAGCAAATATGGACATTCAATTCATTCTTGATCCTTATGCATGCTTAAAGTACTGTGTTGAATACATCAACAAATCTGAAAATGGCATGTCTAAACTTCTACGAGAAGCATTGAACGAGTTAAAAAAAGGCAATAACACAGTCAGAGAACGTCTTAGAGTTATTGCAAATAAATTTTTGAATTCAAGTGAAATTTCTGCACAAGAAGCTATTTATCATATTTTAAGTATTCCACTTTCCATTAGTAGCAGAAGTACTGTTTTTATTAATACAAACAGACCTGAAAATAGAATTTCTATGCTGAAATCAGATGAAATTCTTCAAAAATTGGAGCCTGATTCAAAAGATGTGTTTGTTGAGGGCTTAATTGAGATGTATGTTAATAGACCTGACGAAATGAAAAATGTTTGTCTGGCTGATTTTGCTTCGATGTATAATATTTCAAAGAAAAAAACAGATAATGATCGAATTATAGAAAATTCTGATGACGAAGGTATCATTGAAAATGAAAGTGATAATAAAACTGCTCCTATGAAAATGAAAAATGGTAAGTGTTGGATTAAAAAAAGGACAAAGAAAAAAATCATAAGATACAGATACTTTAAACTACATCAAGATCCTGAAAACTATTATAGAGAGCAGCTAATGCTATTTCTACCATGGACTAATGAAGAAGAAGATCTTATTCATATAAACCATGAAGAGAGATTTGAATTGTATAAAGATATAATTCAACAAAAAAGATCTGAATATATTCATTGTGAAGCTAATGAATTCGAACGGTACCCCTACACTTCGTCCCCTACTTTTCATCCCGTTACTTTTCGTCCCATTCAATTCGTCCCAATTACATTTCATCCCCTTACATTTCGTCCCTATTACATTTTGTCCCAATTACATTTCGTCCCTTTTCAATTTGTCCCCTTACAATTCGTCACAATTTTATTTTGTCCCCTTACATTTCGTCCCATATTGTAACTATTCATTCTCAGTATAGCAATATGAGATAAAGTTTATTTTAATAAATTTAACTGCTTTAAAACTGATAAGTCCTTATCACATGTGAATATTACCATAGAATCATCTTCATATAGAATAAAACTTTCTCCTCAATCAGTTTGTCGTAATATTAAAGGTAAACGACCATTATGATCAAGTTGCATTGCTGGTCGTTCAAATCGAATCGTTTGCAACAATGCGTCATTTGTAGGTAAATCAGTAGTTATAGTTAATGGAATTGTCCGTAATACATCAAATAGTATCGTACTAGCTCCTTCATCTGATGATGCACCACGACTTTTAATTTCATTTTTAAGTCGAATGAGGTGCAGCCGATCTGGATCAGGTACATGAGAATGTTCAGATGGTTCTTTGAGTAATACTTCCATCTGAATATTCGTTTGACAACGATCAAAAAATAATATCAAGCAAAGTTAAAAGATTAGATTTAACGATTTACACTTACTTCTACAATTTGGATCTCCGCAACGAAATATACGTTTTTCTTCTGTTATTCGATGTTGAGTGTACAAATATTCTGAAAAATATATCATTGAATTTCCTCGAGAACTCTTTCATACCTCAATAGTATTCATGTTTTTGTTTATACTATTTGTACAAATTTGTACAAAATGCCAATAACTACGAGCGCCCGTGGTTGAATGACAAATAGAAAATTAATCTCGATAAATATGTAGAATAGAAAAAAGGAATATATTCATTGTTCATTGGTCGTTTATTATCGCAATGATTAATAGACGCGACGATAAGTATTTACACGACATCTAATTAAAATAACTAAAAGTTGATCTTAGAAAAGATATGAGACGAATTGTAATTGGAACGAAATGTAAGGGGACAAAATGAACTTGGGACGAATTGTAAGAGGACGAAATGTAATTAGGACAAAATGTAATTGGGACGAAATGTAAGGGGACGAAATGTAATGGAACGAAATGTAATTGGGACGAATCGTGTGGGACGAATTGAACGGGACGAAATGTCATGTACCGAAGTGAGCGGTCACCAATTCGAACAAGCCTTAGAAGAACATGTGGAAAAAAAGAAGATGAAGATGATATTGATGATACAAATATTGAATACGATCAAGATAAAAATGAATTTCTCATTTATGAAATAGGAAATACTGAAGGTGATATTTTTGTTGAAATGGGAATAAATACTCGAACTGACAAAGTCGAACACTTTAATGTTCCCAAAATAATACCAGACACAGAATATCAACAAATGATGAGAAATCTTAATAACAATCAAAGGAAATATACTCTAAACGTAATGAATTTGATTAAAAATGGTGAAAATCAATTTTTTCATTTCATCAATGGAGGTGCAGGTGTTGGCAAAAGCACTCTAATCAAAGCAGTGTATCAATCAATACTAAGATTTTATAATTCACTTCCAGGATATTATCCAGATAGTATTCGAGCTGCATAATGTGCACCAACTGGCAAAGCAGCAGCATTAATTGATGGAATGACTTTGCATTCACTTTTAAGTTTACCAGTAAATCAATGAAAACATAAACTTGTTCAACTAAATAGCGATGTTTCGAATAGAATTGGAGTCAAATTAAAAGACTTACAATTATTAATAATAGACGAAATATCAATGGTTGGTTTTACAATGTTTCAACAAGTCGATGTACGTTTGCAGCAAATAATGAGAACAAAGAAACCATTTGGTGGAATATCAGTCATAGTTTTAGGCGATTTCAATCAATTAAGACCAGTTGGTGATAAATACATATTCCAGTTTAATAATTCATATAATGCTTTAGTAGATAGTCCATTATGGTCATTATTTGAATTGTTTGAATTAACAGAAATTATGAGACAAAAGGATGATAAGACTTTTGCCATTGCATTAAGTAATATAGCTAAAGGAACGATGACAGATGAAGATATTCATCTGTTAAAGTCACGAATTGTTTCAACTGAAAATTTGGAAACGATTGAAGATGCCATAAGGATATTCAGAAGCAATGCTGAAGTTGATGCATACAATACAAAAGTATTGGCTAATCTTAATACTGAAGGTGCAACTGCCAATGCATATGACTTTTGTATTGGTGATGGACTTGCATCATTAAAAGAAAAAGTGTTGAACAACGTAAAGAATCTCAAAACAACTGAAACTTATGGCTTACCACTTAAAATCGATTTGAAAGTGGGCGCTAAGTATATGTTGACAGTCAATTCTGATACTGAAGATGGATTAGTCAATGGTGCTTGTGGAAAGTTAATAATGATTGATTACGGAAAACTTCAAAAAACTAATGAAACAGTACCATGTAGAATATGGATTAAATTCAATGAAGAAAAAACTGGAAGAAAAGCTAGAGCCAATTTTCACAATGTAATGCGTAATAGAAATATTGATTCTAGTCTTACACCAATCGAACCAGTAATACGTCAAATAAATACGAAGTCAACAAACTTCAAAGTAGAACGGAAGCAGTTTCCAATAGTACCTTGTGAAGCTATGACCATATACAAAAGTCAAGGCGGTACTTACGAGAAGGTTGTTGTCAATTTGAAGAAGGGAATGACAAGATCTGAATTATATGTTGCTTGTAGTCGTGCAACAAAAGCAAGTGGTTTATACTTAATTGGAGACTTTGTTCCACCAAAACCATCTGAACGTAATGATGCAGTGACGTTGATGTTCAAAACTATGAGATCCGAGCGAATGCTGAAATTTTCGCTTGCATTTCCTGAAGAATCTGAAGAGAAAAAATTTTCCATTATCTTTCATAATGTACAATCATTGAATAAGCATATTTCAGATGTTAAATTTGGCAAAACATTTTTGTCTTCTTCCATGATAAGTCTTGTTGAAACATGGACAAAACCAAGTGATAACTTAGAAATTGAAGGTTTTAAGGTAGTTCACAGACGTGATTGTCATGATGTACGAAAACCATTCGGTCAAATCATTTATTTAAAAAATGATTTAAAATTTGAAAATATCAGTGAAAGATATGAATATTCAGGTAAAGATCATATTGAATATTCTTCGATAAAAGTTGATGATATTTGTATAATTTCCGTTTATAATTCACCGAATTCATCATTCGATGTCCTAAGACGACATATGAATGAAGTTATAACTATTTCAAAAAGATTTTGTGATAATATAATTGTCGTTGGTGATTTTAATATAAACTTGAAGATTAAAATCAATAACAAATTTATTGAATATATGAAATCATTTGGACTTAGTTTGAATAATACACTAAATAAAGATTCAACTAATGCAAAAACACAAATTGACTATTGTTTC